AATAGGTATGGGAACCCACAAAGAGGCGAAATATCCAGGGAAGTTGCATCAGAAGAAATAAATGAAGACTTCTACTCTTGGAATGCATTGAATAGGCCGAAAAGGACCCAAATCCGAAGCACAGTCTCCTCTTCAAAAGCACCACCACCAATAACAACAACTAATATACTGTCCTCCATGCAGTCACAGAGTAATGAGCTTCAACAATATTTGACAACCCCCGAAATGTTACCAGCAGATCCACAACAAAGAGCCAACTTTGATGTCTTAGAATATTGGAAAGCCAGAAAATGTATTTTTCCGGTATTATCAAGACTTGCCTTGGATGTTTTCGCTGTTCCTGTCTCAACCGTCTCATCCGAACAAACATTTAGTGCAAGTGGAAGAAGTTTAAATGAAAGGAGGACTAAACTTTCTCCAAAAATGATTGAAATCCTCACATGTCTTCGAGATTGGGAACAATCGTGCCATCAAAATCAATATGAGGTTGTCGATGATACTTTAATATAATCATTTCAATTTTGTAATGTAGATGATACGGATGAGGGAGGTCCTAGTCAACCACCCCCAAATTAGTTGTTTTGTAAATTGTAACTTATAAATTAATTGTCAATTATTGCACTCTTTTTTTTTTACCAAGTTTTTGTCCTACTGGGTTTTTCTTGATGAGGTTTTTAGCAAGACAATAATTGTTGTAATTTCTTATTTTATTTTTTGATAAATGAATAAATCTAATTTTCCTTATATTACAATTTTATTATATTAAAATTGAATTAATATTTGAAATGTTAACAAAAAAAAAAAAATTAATTTAATTTAATTATTGATATTTGAAAAGTTAACTAAAAACAATTACATTTATTCATTTATAAATTGTTAATTATTCATTTGAAAAGTTAACTAAACAAAACAAAATAAAATCAAAAATCAAAAATCAAAAAAGGGGGCTAACCTGGCCCGCCCCACAGCCTAACCCGACGGGTTAGGGTTGGCGGGCCGAGTTGGGCCAACCAATCCCCAAAAAATGGCAGGCCTAACCCGACCTACATTTGTTGGCAGGTAGGTTAGGACCGACCCGCCAAAATCAGTAACCCGTCGCGGGCCAGGTCGGGTTGGGCCAGGCGGTTTACTTTTCCAACATTACTCATCTCGTGGAAGAATATATAAGATCCTGCATCGGGATTATTCTCTCTTGAACTAGACCCAAATGGATCAAATTCTTATTTTATTTTGTGGAATGGGTCTCAAACTGACACGACCTGTCCCGAATTTCCTCATCCCGTAGGATCTGGGCGCTCCCACAAGACTTGGATACCCAAGACATGCCATGTAGAAAAACTGTGAAACCTGTTAAAATACTTACTTTTTCTGAATAACATCATAGTATTTCCATTTCCAACATCTCAAAAACATACACCATCTTTCGTTTTACAAAAGAAAAGATTTAGGGAAACTTGTAGTATCAGGTTTTCCACTTATACTACACATTCCAAAACATAAACAAAAGGAAATACATGATGGGAAACATGAGTTTTTGAAGCGGAAGTCCAAAATACAATACGACATAAATATAAAACCCACATAAAAAGATGTCGACGGGTAGCACAACCCTGAGCGGAGACTCACTGCTCAGCACGATCTCTGGGAGGTCTTGTTGAGGGGGGAAAACATTTAAAAATGGGTGAGCTGAAATACTCAGTGAGTGGGGGAAAGGGGAGGTTTTATAAAAGTTCTTTGAAAAAAAAAAATAATGATAACATACAACAAGTCTTAAGTAAATCCTGACGACAATATAATTCTATGAATATGCAATGGAAGCAACCACCCCATTCATGTATGCAATATGTGATTTATTTCTAACCATCCTGCACTCAATAAACTGTACTCTAACTTACTTCCTTTAACTGTATTGGATTTTGAATAAAACCTCAACATTTGCTATTAGAAACTCTCACCACAACTAGTACCCCCAAGAAAATCTATCATACCTAGTGGGTGTCCCACACGCAGGCAGAGCGAGGGACATACCTGTCATACCCGGCAAGATCTATCATCGCGCTGGCAGAGCCTCTGAAACTGTCATACCTGGCGGACCACTCAACGCCTAGGCAGAGCACTGATAACTGTCATACGCATGCGCAGAGCCAAAAGCTAAAACTGTCATACCCGACGGAATCCTACATCGCTCAAGTAGGGAGAAAAATATGTATCACTGGAGGATGGGTACTTCCTAGGGTGGTTTTAGTACCACAAGTATCTCATGCATAATCTCAAGTAACATATAAGTCAAGAACATATTGCATATGTGCTTATAAAGCATGCATATATGACATAATATTCAAAAATCACATATAGGGATGAAACTGCAATCTTTTAAACATGTTTCAGAACTGACATTTTAACCCAGACTCAAATTTACCACAACATCATATCACCATGCATTAATCCGACACCACCCGTGGACAATCATTTCTTTTTAATCTGATCAATAACCAATATTAAGACATTTCTACAATAACACATCAAAAACATCAAAGATGAAGAAGTGATTTTAAATAAGTAACCCAAGGAAAAGTATAAAGAAATTCATGAAGACCATGTCCAACAAATTGAACAAGTAAGACAACTCAACACTTACTACGGACTTGGCCCATTTCTAACAATTTAATGCAAACTCCATTCACTCTTCAATGACCCATCCATTCCAAACCCAAGCAGCAGTCCACTGAAAAAAAAGAAAAGACCAAAACCCAACCTTTTCTCTACAAGTCTTTTTCCAACTCAAAATTTACATGTTATCAAAAAGCGTTATTATCATGAGAGTTATATAAATGCATTTGCATGACACAAAATAAAAAATTCATTCCCTAAAATATTTACACAAAAACTTGTCCAGCCGTGACATGCAAAGGTAAGTTAAACAAGTTTTTCACTCCCATAACATAACTTCCAGAATTCAACCGAAACCATGCAGCAGTATAAGCCAACAACTTCCATATAACAGCAAAATATTTAGCAAACAACACATCCTAACCAGTGGCGGATCTAGGAATTTCCCTCAATAGGGGCAAAATATAAACAAAAAAAAAAAAAAAAAAAAATTAAAACCAATCTAACTACACTTTCTGTTTTCATTACAATGAGCTTCAATGAAAAGTTATAAAATACAAATAAATATCTTCAAAAAACATAATTTTTGTAAAAATAGAACAATTTTTCTACAATTGTCCTTGACTAGTTTTCCTATTCTAAAAACGTTGGATAATCATCTCATTGTCAATTATATCAAATACATCTTTCTCAATATAGATGACTAAACAATCATTCATCCATTGATCTCCCATTCGATTGCATAATTGATTTTTCACAAGATTCATTGTAGAAAAAAGTCTTTCAACAGTCGCAGTCGCAACTGATAAAACTAATGCAATTTTCACAAGCTTATACACCAACGTATGCAAAATTTCTTTTTTAAACTGAACTAAATTCTTAACCAAATCACCAATTCCTTGTAATTCAGCAAATTTATCACAAGAATGTATGTCAATAACATAAATCTCAATCTGATTCTCAAGTACCATCAACTCAAGTGCAAAAAAATCAAATGGATAAAATTGACCAAATCCATTTCCTTTTTCTTTGCTTCTTCTTCCTTTCTTCTTTATGGGCTTTTCTCTCTTTTTCTTCATTTTTGACAAACAACCCAATTTATATATAAAATAACTTCTTTGAATTATGAAACTGCCTCAAGATTCTCTTATTCTCACCATGACCTCGCCACATTAGCTTTTTGATGTAAAAATGCCCAAATTTCTCCGCTCAATTAAATGCAAACCCAACCGTTCTTATTCCTTTCATTTTCACTCCTAATAAAACTTTTAAAAACTAACAGATCCTCTTACGTAAAAATAAAAATCACAAAAAAATATGAAATATATATAGTAGGATTAAAAATAGGGTTTTACAAAAATAAAATCCAAACTAACCGTGGGGGCTGTTCCCAAAATCTCATAATTCTATAAGTGTAAAATTTAAATAAATATAAGATATGGAGTTTTTTAAAAAGTTGAGTGGGGACTCTAGTCCCCACAAATCATTAATTAGATCCGCCACTGATCCTAACACACCAGCCGAACCCACATAAAACAATATGTCACAAAACACATGCATAAATAGAAATTTATGCAAAACCCATAAACAATAATCAGATCTCGACATGCAAAGGTATAAGTATAAGTTTTTCAGGAAAACAATTTAGATCCACTCACTATTCTAGCTCAACAGAACTTTGAAAGGAAACCTCAAGCACTGTCTTCCTCCACACCCGAAATAAAAAATGGTGGGATCTACTTCAATATCTCAAGATTCTCATCCTCCATTTTTGCTTCGCTCTTCCTCTCTCACTCTATCTCTAGACCGAAACACCTCTTTCTTCTATTCTCTTCTTCTTCTTCTGCTCTTCTTCCTTCCTTTCTTTCTCTCCTTCTCTCTCCTATTTGAGCTTTTTCTTCATCTTCATTTGGGCGAACAGCCAGTTTTTTTTTTTTATATCTAAAACAGTTTTTTTCTGAAATTATAAATCTGAGCCCCCAAAATCTCTTAATTTCACTAACCCCACCACATAAGCTTCTCCTAACAAAGTGTCCAGATTTTTCCCTCTTGATACATGCAAACCCATCAGAATTTATTTCTTTCGTTTTCACCACTTAATGCAAACTTTAAAAACTGACAGAAATACCCATTTCTTACAACAATACCATAAAATCAAATAGAAAGAGAGGTAAATAACTAAATAAAATTCATGGTATAACTAAATTAGAAATGGGGTTTTACACAAACTCTCAATCTCACAGGTACTGGTCCAGTGGACCTTGGAACCAGAATCCAAAGTTGTTCGACGGTGTTCCTGAAATGAGAGAAAATTATATCTACGATTTCAACTATTCTACCAATGAAAACGAGGGCTGAATTTCAAGGATAATTTTTTTACCAATTCGAGCATGGCTTTGCCCAAAAATCCACAATCTGTGTCAGTGGGAAGTGGCGCTGAATGTGAAACAACCTACTTGAATAATTGTTCTTGCACTGCTTATGCCTGTGAAGACTATCAGTGTTCCATTTGGTTTAGAAATCTGTTGGGCATAAAGCTAGGCGCCTCAGATGGAAAAACTCTTTCTATCAAGCTTGCAACTTCAGAGTTTTCAAGTCCCAAAAGTTAAAGGGAACAGTTATTGGAGCAGTCGAGGGCTCTGTGGCACTTGTAGTTCTCTTTGTTAATAAAAATAATCAATTATTATATTAGCAACGCAAATAAGAAATATATTGAATATAAAACAATATAACTAAATATCAATAAAATAAAATGACAATACAATAAAATTAATAATATCAACAATTTGATCACGTGTAGAAGATCCTTTAGAATAATAGGAAGATATCCGGTAAAGAGAATATAACATTAGGATGAATGTCGAGGCTTAGGCTTGTGTAACACACAATTTCCTTAAAACAAATTCATCTCTTTCACTCGGGTGCACAAGGATTTAAGTAGCGTCTGTTTTCTAAGATACAACGACAAATGAATAGAAAGAGAAGCACCAATGAAAACCTTAAAAACTAGAGAGAATAAAAGATTGAAAAAACTCTTAATTTTTGTGTGTGTTTAAAATGAGAGGAAAAACACATTTTTATACTACTCAAGGTGGGATAAAAATTGAATTTCACCCTTATTTACTTTAAAACCTCCTCCATTAATCCATTGACCTTTCATCTTTCAAATTCTTAACTTATACCACCATATTTCATTTCATTCAATTTATTTAATATATTCCTTATTCCAACACTCTTATGCCTTGTTGTGTTTGTATATTTGAGAAGGACGAATAAAACAATCAAAAACAACCAGAGCAATAGAGGGTTCATAGGCGGCATTTGCATACAAGAATAAAACTGCATACGAAATTATTTTAAGTGGTACACTTGGTTTTATGCTCATGCATCACTTGGTGGACAAACACCCTTATAACAAACTCTTGGAACTTTTATCAAAAATATATTTTTCTTTACGGGCGAGCGAGAAACTTGTAGTAGAACAAGAATATTGAACGTGAACGAAAAAGAGATAGTAGCGAGAATAAAACAACAATAAAGCAAATCACAGATAATAAACATAAAGAAAATAACACGCACGATTTATCTTGGTTTACCCAATATGGGTTACGTCTAGTTGAGTCAATGTTATTGCAATACTTTCTCTCCTCTCTCGTTTACAATGAATGAATTGTCCTATAATTTACTATCACTCATAACAAGAGAAAAATATGTTTATATACTAGGTTTAAATGATAAAACCTAGTTTTACAAGGATTTTTATTCCAATAAGAAATTAATAACTTCAAGAAATCATATAGCGGTTATACATGAAAAAGGCCCAAACCGCCTACGGGCCCAGGGGCGCTGCCCCCGTGACCCCCGCCTGCTGACCGGGTAGCGGAACCCCTGAATATGTCTGCATAACCCATTAATGTTGAAGTAGTCGACAACTCCAACAAAGGGGCATTGTAGTAAAAACTTTTAAGTAGAGAATGCATTATTATGAAGTGATTGTGGGTCCTGAAGTATGTGGGTGGGTATATCTATGGCATCAACCGGAGGCCGAAGCCTTGAACGAGAAGGGGAATTGAGGAAGTGGAGGTGAGAATAAAGTTGTTTTGGGTTGGTGGTGGTGGTATATGAGCACAAGAAGCAGGAAGGTTTATGAAGGAAGCTGTCAATTTATGATTGAAATTTGGCAGTCACGAGTGAACTTAACCGAATGAAACTTCAGCATATTAGCATATTCCATGCATCATCCACCTACCATTTATGATTGGGCCATTCTAACCTTGTTATCTATTGTTCCTACAATCATGCCCTTCCCTAATTCACTCCAAAGAGAAATTATTAATTATAGTGATTATATGTACATTCGACCAATCGAAAACTACATATATTTATAAAATGCGTATATATTCATTCTGAATCAATTTATTCTCATTTCAAACAATTGGGAATTTTCCAACCTCATAAATTCTTTTGCTGATGCAAATAACACTAGTCTCTCATTGAAAGATTGCTTTTGATGCTCACGAAGTTAAGTAATTCTAAAGAGCAATTGTGGTCAAATTATAAAGCAGAGTTGGTCTAACAGGAGCTCAATGATCACGTGGACTAGTAAAATTAGCAACCTCTACGGCTCTACCCACCTGGTCAAGAAAAACAGAGAGCAAAAGACACCGTTTGCTGAGACATGATTCACTTAGAAGTTAGAACAGTAGTAAAAGTGAATCTGATGAGATGGAAGGAAGGGCAGTTATGTCACCAAAATCTTGTACATAAAAATTTTTCACCTGGCAGTTAATGTAAATCGTCATCTTCTTTGTCAAGTGAAATTTAACATCATATGCTGGGAAATATGTGCAAACTGAAATGTCAGAAGAGTAAAAGGCACATTGCAGCCTAATTTTCCTTCAATGCCTCATGCTAATCTGTTAGAATCCCTTAGCACGATACTCTGTTTTAGAGTTTTGGTAAAGATATAACTGTTTATCCTGATTGAATTTGGTTTCTTAAGATAAAATCTGTGTACCACATGTATATCAAATTCAAGCTAATGACCGATTGCACTTGTTGAGGTTTTTCTGAATGACGCATATGCTCCCTTATTGTTGTTGCAGGACAATCATATATGTGTTTTGGTCAAGATCTTCAAATTCCTTTATTTTTTGATAAATAGGTTTCCTGAGTGCTTTAGTATCTTTGGTATGATTTACAGGTATGTGTTGGAATCACAGCACATGAAGAAGTTCTTTGACTATATACAGCTTCCAAATTTCGATATTGCTGCAGATGCTGCTGCAACTTTTAAGGTTGAATAATTTAGCAAACTTCATTAACTAGGATATTGTCGTAGTCTGACTATGCAAATTTGCAGCAATTATACTTCCAAGTATTACACTTGCAGTTGCAATACTTACATATGATGATATTAATATCCTTCCTTTCAGGAATTGCTGGTAAGGCATAAATCTACTGTGGCTGAATTTCCTTCTAAGAATTATGACTGGGTAAGTGTTGCTTCCATAAGATTTTATATGAATATTTTATGCATACATGTCTGTGTATGTCTATGCCCACATGGACACCAGAGGAAAAGCATGCTTTGCATCTTGTGGTGTACTTTGCAAGAATACCAAAAGTAGATAAAGTAACTCAGTGAGGAAAACAGGAATACAAATTGGGAAATGCCTTGTATAACTCCATTTCAGTAGAAGATTTTTTTTTGTTCCCTTTCCAATTTCATTTCCATACCTCTTGTTTGAAAGTGAATTAGTCTGCATTGAATTTTTGTTATGTTAATAATACCAGAATTTGAATTCATGATCATGATTTTAATTAATAATTTTCATGGTTCTTTATAGTCTAAAAGTTCAATTAACCTCAGGCTTTTAAAATTCTGCTCTTCCCAGTTTCAGCAGAATTTAACATTCTTTGCTGGTTTCAGTTTTTTGCGGATTATAACCCAAAACTGTTGGAATCTTCCAATTACATCACAAGACGACAAGCTATCAAGGTATGACTAATTTATGATATCTTCCACTTATGATAAAGAAGCCTTAAATGATTTATATATGCAGATGTCTGAATGTTTGGAATTCCTTGTTGTTTCTGGAACTTGTGGCATCTGGCCTGAAAACTTGCTTTTGGTGTTTTCATGTTGGATATCGATTTAGTAGCTGGAGTAATCAGTGTTTCTGTGCTTACTTATGAATAATAAAATGTATTTAAACTATGCCAATGCTTTGCTCATGCCAAAATTAATTTTAGAGAGAGTAGAGTAGTTCTTGTCTAATAGTGTGGATGGTGTTAAAACTTAAAGAGACCAAACCGCAAAACCAAAAGCAAGAAAACCAACATTCAAACAGCAGATAAAATCCAACATATAAGCAGAAGATAAAATCCACATATATGCAGCAGATAAGTAAACTGAAATGTAAAGGGGACAAAGATTTATAGTGGTTCGGTAATCTTATAGATTACCTACATCCACTCTCCAGGGCAATAAGCTGATTTTCACTATGAGAATAAGAGAATTTTACAGAGATACGCTCACCCTTTACACAGTGCACAAACCTAGATCTCAACACCTCTCATACACCACACACCGAAAATAACCAAGCATTAATATAGATTTATATAGAAGAGGAAAACAGAAAAACAATCCAGCTAAGACCTACCACTACTATTGATTCCATCAACGCTCTTCGAAACTCCAACGCATCCAACATTTCGTAACAAACTTTTCTCTCTCTGTTAACCAAGAGAGAAAACTCGATAGAAATGAAAAATGAGCAAAACCTAATTTGAATTAGGTTTATTGAAGATTGGTTTTGACAGAACTGCCCCTTAGCTTTAGCAAAATGACTTTGACTGCCCAAATTAAACTTTGACTTCCACATGGGCATAAATCAATTGCCACCTTACAAGAAATCTCCACCTTGGCACTTGATCATTGCCCTTACTTACTGCCCTGGAAATTCCTTCTACTTTTCTTCAATGTGAAGAAGGCTCTTAAAGAGCCTTAACTTGTCCAAGACAACTGACTTGGTGAACATACCTGCTGGGTTTTCACAACTAGGAACTTTCTCCACCTTGATGGCTTTATCTTCAATCAAATTCCTTATAAAATGTAGCCTGACATCAATGTGTTTTGATCTCTCATGAAACACTTGATTTTTACATAGAAAAATTGCACTTTGGCTGTCACTCTTGATTGGAACCTGCTGCTGGTTCAAACCCATTTCTTCAAGCATTCCTTTGAGCCACATTGCTTCTTTAACAGCCTCTGTAATGGCAATGTATTCTGCTTTCGTAGTTAACAAAGTAACAATTGCCTGCAGATTAGCTTTCCAAGAAACCAGATTATTCCAAAAAGAGAAACAGAAACAAGTCATGGATTTCCTATTGTCTACATTTCCTGCATAATCAACATCCACATATCCTACAATGATATTTCCCTAATTTTGCTCCCTACTATAAATAATACCAGTAGTCATTGTACCCCTCACATACCTAAGCATCCATTTTACAGCTTCCCAATGATTCTTCCCAGGATTACTCATAAACCTACTTACAGAACTAACTGCAAAGGCTAAATCAGGTCTGATACGCACCATCAAATACATCAAGCTCCCTATTGCATTTGCATATGGAATGCAGTTCATTTCCTTCCTTTCTTCTTTTGTTTCTGGGCATTGAACTGAACTGAGTTTAAAGTGCTGTCCTAAGGATGTTTTGACAGGTTTGGAATTACTCATATTAAACTTCCTGATAACTTTTCCAGCATATTCCTTTTATGACAAGATCAATTTTCCAATTTTTTTATCCCTTTCAATATTCATTCCTAGGATTTTCTTAGCTTGCCCTAAGTCTTTCATTTCAAATTGTCTACTCATCTCTTCCTTAAACCTAGCAATTTCAGAAAGATCTTTACAAGCTACAAGCATATCATCTACATACAAAGCCAAATAAATGTAGCACTCACTATACAAACACTTAAAATAAAAGCAACCATCAAAGCTACTTCGAATAAATCCAGCATTCACCATAAACCAGTCAAATTTTCTATACCACTGCCTAGGTGACTACTTTAATCCATACAGTGATTTTTTCAACAAACAAACCTGGTTTGTAGACCCCTTTTTAAACAATTCAGGCTGCTCCATCAGAAATCTTTCTTCTAAATCACCATTCAAGAAAGCAGTTTTGATGTCTAATTGTTCCAATTCTAAATCAAACTGAGCTACTAAGGCTAAAAGAATTCTTATAGTGGTATGTCTCACAACTGGTGAGAAAATTTCATTATAATCAACTCCTTCAACCTTTGTGAAACCTTTGGCTACCAACCTAGCTTTAAACCTAGGTGCTTCTACCCCTGGTATACCCTCTTTCTTTTTGAAAACCCATTTACACTTAACCACCCTACTACCTTCAGGTTTGTTAACAAGGATCCAGGTCTGATTTTTTATTAAAGACTCATATTCTTCCTGCATGGCAAGTTTCCATTCCCTGGAATCTTTACTAATCATGGCTTCCTTAACAGTCCTAGGCTCATCATCAATCTCTTCAGCAATTTGAAGAGCAAATGCTAACATGTCAGCATGTGAGTACCTTCTAGGTGGTCTAATTTCCCTTCTTTCCCTATCTCTAGCTAGTTGATAATTTTGCAAGTCATGTCCATCATCATCATTATCACCATTTTCACCTAAGCTAGATTCTTCCTCCTGGGTATGGGAATCTGAAACAGTGTCTGAAATAAGATTGTTCAAACTTGAAAAATCTCCACCTAGATCCAGATTTAAGACCTCTGTCCTATCTGCATTGTTACTCTCTTCCTGACCCAAAATACCCAACTCATCTTCATTAAATCTGACATCTCTACTAATGATACACTTTTTCCCTCCAATATCCCAACATTTGTAACCCTTAATGCCATCAGGATATCCTAAGAAAATGCACCTAATAGCCCTTGGTTGTAACTTATCAGTTTTTTCATGAACAAAAACAGTGCAGCCAAAAACCCTAAGGTTACTATAGCTTGTAGGATGCCCAGACCATTTTTTCATGGGTGTTTTAAAACTAATAGCAGATGAGGGTATTCTGTTAATTAGGTAAACTGCTGTGTGGGCAGCCTCTGCCCAAAACTTGGTGGGTAACTTAAAACAGGTTAATAGGCTTCTAACCTTTTCTAGAATGGTCCTATTCATCCTTTCTGCTAAACCATTCTGCTGGGGTGTGTGCCTTACAGTCTTATGCCTCAGAATTCCTCTTTCCCTACACAGATTATTAAAATCTTCATTTATGAATTCTAAACCATTATCAGTTCTAAGTTTCCTAATTTTCTTCCCAGTTTGGTTTTCAATCATGACTTTCCAATCTCTGAATTTCCTAAAAGCTTCTCCCTTAGTTTTCAAGAAATAAACCCAGACCCTCCTAGAATAGTCATCTATTATGTTGATGAAATATCTACAACCTCCCAAGGATAGATATTTAGTAGGTCCCCAAACATCTGAATGGATATAGTCTAAAATAGACTTAGAATAGTGGTTTCCCACACTAAATCTGATTTTGTTCATCTTCCCATAAATGCACTGATCACAGAAAACCAGCTTCTCTATTTTATCTCCTCTTAGAACCTTTTGCTTACCCAGCTCAACTAAACCTTTTTCACTAATGTGCCCTAATCTCCTATGCCATAAAGTTGTCTAATTAGACTTCTGAGATAAGGACACTACTGCTGTTCCAGTGATGGTTGAACCATTTAGAATATACAACCCATTCCTCATCTCACCCTTCATTACAACTAAGGACCCTTTAGTTACGTTAAGAACTCCACCTTGAGCTTTATAACAATAGCCAATTGAATCCAGACTTCCTAGAGAAACTAAGTTTCTTTTTAGCTCTGGTATGTATCTAACATCAGTGAGTCATTTTGAGCTTCCATCATGCAAATTCAGCCTTACATCTCCTATTCCTAAGACTCTACAAGCTGCATTATTTCCCATCAACACCTTTCCAGACTCAAGTTTCTTAAAGTTTGACAGAAAACTCCTATTTGGAGTCATGTGGAAAGAACAGCCAGAATCAAGTGCCCATTCAGCATCAGTTTCATTTTCAGAAACAACTAACACATCAGAACTCTCATAACCATCAGAAGCTATTTCTACACTTCCACTAGCATCCTTTTCCCCTGACTTTTTCTTCCTATCAGGACAGTCCCTCTTAAATTGACCTTCCTTATGACAGTGAAAACATTTCCTAGTGAACTTAGACTTAGACTTTGATCTACCCCTGAAATTCCCCTTCTTGTGGCCTTTCTTATCAGGTTTTCCTCTTACATAAAACCCCTCACCATCTAGTTTACCTTCCTTTTTAAATTCAGCATCCTTAGTAGTAATTGCTACCACTACTTCATCTAGTTTAAGGGTTTGCCTGCCATACTTAAGGGTGTCCACAAAGTTAGAGAAATTTTTTGGAAGTGAGTTAATTAGGATTACTGCTTGATCTTCATCCTCAACCTTAACACTAAGCCCTTCTAGATCATGTACCAGTTTCATAAAATCATTCATATTGTCTCCTAATATTTTGTTTTCATCCATTTTAAAACTGAACAGCTTCTGTTTTAAAACTAACCTATTAAGAGAGGACTTTGACAAGTATAAAGAGTCTAGTTTTTCCCAAATTTCAACTGGTGATTTCATTTTCTTAACTTCCTTTAAGACCTTATCCCCTAAACCTAGAATTAAGGAACTATAGGCTTTATCTAACAGGTTTTTCTTCTCCTTCTCAGACAGGGAGTCTGGTAAACTATCCTCACCTTCTAAAGTATCAGCCAAACCATCCTTAACTAAGATAGCCCTCATTTTCATCTTCCACAATCCATAATCATTATCCCCTGTGAATTTCTCCACCTCAAACTTAGACATTTTCCTTGTTCCCACCCTTCACAGATGCCTAGAGTAAAAAGCCCCAATTTACCCGAGACTTAAACAGAAACCCTAACTTGCAGCTGTTAAAAAAGAAACCCAGATCTAAGCCTAGATGCTTCAAATTCGCAAAAGATCTCTTAACCTAGAAAAACCCTAGGTGCTAGAATGATAACCTAGCTCTGATACCACTTGTTAAAACTTAAGAGACCAAACCGCAAAACCAAAAGCAAGAAAACCAACATTCAAACAGCAGATAAAATCCAACATATAAGCAGCAGATAAAATCCACATATATGCAGCAGATAAATAAACTGAAATGTAAAGGGGACAAAGATTTATAGTGGTTCGATAATCTTATAGATTACCTACATCCACTCTCCAAGGCAATAAGTTGATTTTCACTATGAGAATAAGAGAATCTTACAAAGATACGCTCACCCTTTACACAGTGCACACACCCTTCTGTAAACCTAGATCTCAACACCTCTCATACACCACACACCGAAAATAACCAAGCATTAGTATAGATTTATACAGAAGAGGAAAATAGAAAAACAATCTAGCTAAGACCTACCACTACCGTTGATTCCATCAACGCTCTTCGAAACTCCAGCGCATCTAACATTTCGTAACAAACTTTTCTCTCTATGTTAACCAAGAGAGAAAACTCGAGAGAAATGAAAAATGAGCAAAACCTAATTTGAATTAGGTTTATTGAAGACTGGTTTTGACATAACTGCCCCTTAGCTTTAGCAAAATGACTTTGACTGCCCAAATTAAACTTTGACTTCCACATGGGCATAAATCAATTGCCACCTCACAACAGATGGTATCATGGATATTTAGCTGTATATGAAGATTTCCAGAAGATTTAAGGGAAGCTTTGAGTTTCAGGAGAAGATATTAGCAGTTCTGGAACTTCTGGTCGGTGGTTTTGAGAGTTATACTTTCTACTGAATGTCTTTATTTCTTACAGTTGTTGGTGGATATATTACTAGATCGCTCTAATTTCGTTGTGATGACAAAATATGTGAGCTCAAGGGACAACTTGAGGATACTTATGAATCTTCTGAGAGCAAGACACGGCTCCCAGATTGCATATGGAATATATCTTGCTAGCCTTGGATGAAAAATAACCTGACTATGAAATTTTTTATAATGAACTAAACTTTGATGTGTTAAATGGTTCTCTTTTGCAGGAGTCTAGCAAGAGTATTCAGATAGAAGCATTTCATGTTTTCAAGGTATTGTGTTTTGGTGAGACTGTAGGTGTAGATTGTGAATTCACAATTCAGAAGATGTTTTTAGGTACCATATGCTCATTTGTGTAACTGTGCATTTTACAGTTGTTCGCTGCTAATCAAAATAAACCTCCAGATATCGTAAGCATACTTGTCGCAAATAGAAGCAAGCTTCTCTGCTTGTTTGCTGATCTTAAAACTGATAAAGGTAGAAAAGTAACGAGTTTCTGTCAACACTAAGCATCATATATGCTTCAGATTGTGTTTACATTTTATGTATGTTCTGTTGCAGAGGATGAATAGTTTGAGGCTGACAAAGCTCAGGTTGTCAGGGAAATTGTTGTGCTCGAGCCGAGAGATCGCTGATGAATGAGCTTTGTTTGTATCACATGTATGTGCAATCTCATGATGTTGTCTTCATCATTTAGATGTGAATTATATAGCTCGTATAGTTCTCAATATGACACTCCAAATAATTGGTCTTTGTACTATTATGCTCGGTGTACGAAATTATTTTAAGTGGTTCCCTTAGTTTTTGCTCATGCATCAATTGGTGGCCAAACACCTTTATAACAAACTCTTGAACTTGTAAGTTCTATCAAAAACATATATTTCTTTACTCAAGTTATGTTTTTGTTGTACATCGATGTCTTACAAGCAAGAAACTTGTAATAGAACAAGAATGTCGAAAGGGAATTGTAATAAAAATTATAAGAAGAGAATGATGAAGTGATTGTGGGCACTGAAGTATCTGGGTGGGTATATCTATCGCATCAACTAGAGGCCAAAAGCTTCAAAGAGAAGGGGAATTCATGAGGTGACTAGGTGAGAATATAAGTTGTTTTGGGTTGGTGGTGGCAGTATATGAGCACAAGAAGCAGGAAGGTTCATGAAGGAAGCTGTTGAAGGTTAATGTTGTGTTGGAAGTATGTTTTGCTGGAACTGAAAGTTTGAAGCTGGTTTTGCAGTAACCAAAGGGACGTGCATGGTGCTGTTTTTGAGTGCAGTAGTTTAGGCTTAATTTGTCAGCTTGTGTGTTAAATTTGAATTTGGTGACTCAGCTAATTTTCTCCAATTTGTAATGTAGTAGTTAGATATGTGTGGATTAGCTGAGATTATGTAAAAGTTACTGACAGTGGTTGTAACAGCAAGCTAAAGCATGTTATATGCAAGTTTTTGTCGGCTAATGAATTTGAATCAGTTCTCTTCAGCTCTCCTTTTCTTTGCACATCCGGCATTAGCTTAAACGCTAACATGGTATCAGAGCTGCATTAACAAACCATCATCTAAAAAAAAAACTCACTCAAAAAACATCATGAATCACCATCAAACTTCAACCTTCCGCAAGAACAACACTTTCCAAAAAATTGCAACCTGGTTCTGCATGGCAACTCAGTTGGCTTCTCTCTCACCTCTAGTGTTCAATGGGGACCAATATCACATCTGGGCTGTTAGAATGAAAGCCTACCTAAGAGGGCAAGGGCTATGACAGTATGTGGAAAAGGAGAAACAACCATCGCAGCTTGGTTCAAACCCAACTTTGAATCAAATAAGGATGTATGAGGAGGAATTGTCCAAAGCCCCAAGAGCTCTTTCTCACATACACTCTGCAGTAACAAACCTTGTATTTACAAGGATAATGGCATGTGAAACTGCAAAGGAAGCTTGGGATAGATTGAGGGAGGAGTTCATGGGAAGTGATGCAACCCGCAATATGCAAGTTATGAACCTGCGGAGAGAGTTTGAAATGCTAAGAATGCATGAGGTAGAGAAAGTAAAAGAGTATGTAGATAGGCTTATGAGTGTGGTGAACAAGATTAGATTGTTGGGAGCTGAGATAAGTGACAAGATGATAGTTGAGAAAGTGTTAGTCAGTCTACTCGAAAGATTTGAGTCCAAGATATCTTCCTTAGAAGATTCAAAGGACCTCTCCCAAATCAGCCTCACCGAATTGGTTCATGCCCTGCAAGCCCAAGAACAGAGAAGGTTCATAAGGCAAGAAGACTCCAATGAAGGTGCAATGATGGCTGCTCAAAAGGGATTGAATGTGCAGGAAAGCAATAGGAAATATGCTGGAGATAAGAGAGGAAAAGAGAGAACTGGTGGACAGTGGGGAAAACCTTGTGGAGGAAGGAATTATCCACCATGTTCCCACTGCAAAAAAAAGGGACATCCAGACAGTAAGTGTTGGTTCAGACCTGGGATCCAATGCAGGGGGTGCATACAGTTTGGGCACATTGAAAAGGTGTGCAAGAACAAAGGTGCATAGCCATCACAGCAAGCACAAAGTGCAGAAGACCAGTAGTAGGGCAGTGAGCCCAAGCAGCTGTTTGTAGCTTCATGCTACTCCATGCAGACCAGCGGTGATGTTTGGCTAATAGATAGTGGTTGTACTAACTACATGGCAACAAAACTGGAGAAATTTGTTAGGATGGACAGAACCTACAGCTCCAAGGTCAAGGTTAGAAATGGTGAATATGTGGAGGCAAAAGGGATTGGAGATGTGGCAGTCCAAACTCAAGCAAGTACCAAGATCATTTCAAATGTTTTATTTGTCCCTGAAATTGCACAAAATCTGTTAAGTGTAGGTCAAATGTTAGAGAAGAATTACACTTTACATTTTCAAAATCATGCTTGTGTAATAAAGGATTGTGAGGGAAATAAATTGATGAGTGTTAGGATGCTAGGAAAAAGCTTCCCAGTAAAGTGGAAAAAACCACTAAATTCAGCATTAACCAGCAAGGTTGAAGAGTCTGAGTTGTGGCATAAAAGGCTTGGCCACTTTTACTACTTAGGAATTAAAGAACTCAAGACAAGAGACATGGTGTTGGATTTGCCCGAAATAGAGGAGAAAAAGTCCTTATGCACAGCCTACCAACTTGGCAAACTTAGCAGGCCATCATTCCCTTCAAATCAAACCTAGAGAGCTAGTCACAAGCTGCAATTGATCCACACAGATGTGTGTGGTCCTATGAAGACTGAATCCTTAAATGGCAACAGGTACTTTGTACTCTTCATTGATGATTACTCAAAGGTGGCTGCTGTGTTTAAGAAATTCAAGTTGTTGGTGGAGAATGAAGCTGGAACATTGATCAAAACTGTAAGGAGTGACAACGGGACAGAGTACACCTCAACTAAATTCAGCACAATCTACAGTGTAGCTGGAATTTAGCAGCAGTTCATAGCCCTGTACACCCCTCAGCAGAATGGTGTTTGTGAGAGAAGAAACCGAACCATTATGGAAATGGCTAGGTGCATGATGGCTGAAAAGAACCTTCCTAAAATGTTCTAGGCTGAAGCTGTTAATACATCAGTTTTTCTCTTAAATAGGCTGCCCACCATAGCAGTCAAACATCAAACACCAATTGAGGTATGAAGTGGAGTCAATCCAGCTGTAGGGAGCTTGAAAGTATTTAGAAGTATAGCCTATGTAATGATCCCAGCAAGCAAAAGATCCAAATTGGATGATAAGGTTGAAATTAGGATACTTATAAGCTACAGCAGCAACTCTAAAGCCTATAGAGTTTATATCCCTGAGTCTAGGAAGATTGTAATCACAAGAGACATAAAGGTTGATGAAGGTGGAGTCTAGAACTGGGAAGAAAAAAGGGTTGATCTGTAGGCTGAATCAAGACAAGAAGAGATGAATGAGAGGCTAATCCAAGAGGCAGATTCAGATGAGGAAGAAGAACATGTCGTTAGAGGGACAAGATCACTGGCTAATGTATACGAAAGGTGCAATATGGCAGTGGTGGAAACAAGATGTTACCTTGAAGCTGCCAAGTCTGAACTGTGGAGGGCTGCAATGTAGGAGGAGCTCAACATGATTGATAAAAACCAAACCTGGAAATTGGTACCAAGACCAGAAAAAAGGAAAGTAATTCAAGTGAAATGGATTTTCAAACTGAAAATCAATCCTGATGGCTCAATCTACAAGCATAAAGCAAGGCTACTGGTGAAGGGCTTTGCACAACAACCAGGTATTGACTTTTTAGAAACATTTGCCCCGGTAGCTAGGCAAGACACAATCAGGCTGTTGTTAGCACTTGCAGCTCAGTTTAACTAGAAAATTTTCCTGCTAGATGTCAAATCGGCATTCCTGAATGGGTGGATTTCAGAGGAGATTTTTGTGGAGCAACCGAAAGGCTACAAGGTTGAGGGCAAAAAGGATCATGTGTATCAGCTAAAGAAAGCCTTGTATGGCTTGAAGTAGGCCCCTAGAGCTTGGTACAGCCGGACAAATGACCATTTGTGTAGCCTTGGTTACACTAGAAGTCCTAATGAACACATTCTCTACATTAGGAAAACTGATAGAGGATTAGCTGTGGTTTCTCTCTACGTTGATGACTTGTTGGTGACAGGTAGCAATCCTGAAGAATTGGACCAGTTTAAGTCAGCCATGCAAACTAAGTTTGAAATGACTGATTTAGGATTGATGAAATATTTCCTAGGCATGGTGATAAGTCAGACTGCAGGTGAGATTTTTGTGTGCCAACAGAGATATGCAACTGAGCTTCTCATGAAGTTTGGAATGGAGAATTGTAAACCAGTGGATACCCCACTGGTTCCCAACCTGAAATGAGCAAAACTGATGGTGCAGAGAGGGTAGATGAAGGGAAATTCAGAAGCTTAGTGGGAAGTTTGCTGTACTACACAGCCACCAGACCTAACCTTATGTTCACTGCAAGTTATCTTTCAAGGTTTATGAGCAACCCAAGTAAACTGCACTTTAAGGCTGCTAAACGTGTGCTGAGGTATATAAAAGGAACCAGCATGTTAGGCATCTATTTTAGGAAAGCCGAAAGTCTGAAATTGTTGGGGTATTCTGATAGTGACTGGGGTAGATCCCTAGATGATGCTAGAAGCACCTCTGGTTATGTATTTTATCTGAATAGGATGCAATATGCTGGTTGTCAAGAAAGCAGGAGACTGTGGCACAATCTACTGCTGAAGCTGAATATGTCTCTACTGTAGTAGCAGTGAACCAGGCTGTGTGGCTGAGGAAGATGCTGGATGATTTGCACCAAGTGCAGGGTGATCCTACATTAATCCTGTGTGATAACTAGTCGGCTGTGGCAATGGCAAAGAACCTTGTACTCCATGGCAGAACTAAGCATATCAAGATTAAGTATCATGTTGTTAGGGAAGCTGAACAGTGCAAAGAAGTGAGCTTAGTGCACTGCAGAGGAGAAGATCAAGTCGCTGACATTTTGACAAAGGCCTTGTGCAAATCCAAGTTTGAAGCCTTAAGACTAGAACTTGGTGTTTCCAGCCAAAGCATCAAGGAGCCCAATTGTTTGAAACGAGAATAAATTGATACAAAACAAATGTATATTGATCCTATAAATATACACAGTTTTCCATTGAGTGATCGAATGTACATATAATTGCTATAATCAATGGTTTCTCTTTGGAGTGAATTAGGGAAGGGCATGATTGTAGGAACAATAGGTGGATGATGAATGGAATATGCTTGAATTTTCATTCGGTTATGTAATTTTCCAACCTCATAAATTCTTTTGCTGATGCAAATAACACTAGTCTCTCATTGAAAGCTTGCTTTTGATGCTCATGAAGTAAAGTAATTCTAAAGAGCACTTGTGGTCAAATTATAAAGCAGAGTTGGTCTAACAGGAGCTCAATAATCACGTTATCTGGACTAGTAAAATAAGCAGCATCTAAGCCCTCTACGGCTCCACCCACCTAAACCTATTCAAAGGGAAAGAGAGAGCAGAGGACAACTTTTCCTGAGACATGATTCACTTGGAACAGAAGTTAAACTTACGTAAAAGTGAATCTTGTATATAAACTCATGCATGGTCTCTTCTGTTGGCTCAGCTACATGAAAGCTCAGAAAGACTGAAACCCATCACCATAATCAACATTATTATTATAGATAATTTTCCCATACATAAGGTTATCTCCTATTTCTTCAATTTTCTGTCCCTAAACAAAATCAACGGACGGCACAAAACAAAAAGAGCAAAAACAATGTACAATCATTTACACACCCACCCACACCCCAAATACAGCCAAGAACATCTTGGGGTGGAGTGACTATACAAAAAGAGAAATGGCAACAAGTGTAGAAAAAATGCAGCAGCAGCGGCTTCCCAACACGGCAGTTGTGACATGCCAGCAGGACACTTGAATCAGAAGAACAAAAGCCAGGACCATCAACCAAGTAGCATAAGGACAACTCAACAAAAAAGCCGCCACAAATCATCAAAGTGGGGCAAGTCCACCAAGGTCAAGACAGACACAACAAAACAAAAAGGCAGGCCCCAAACAAGACCAGTAAAAGAGCCTATAGCACCCGAATATGAACTAAATGTCCTTAAAATGGATATTAAAGTTTTGAAATGTAAGAAATCGTGAAAGTTCGGAGTTATGGATAGTCAATCTCAAAAAGTCTTTCCTTTGACTTTTCTTTTATGGAGTGCGCAAGAGGAAGGGCAAATGTTTCTGGGATCTCTAGTCGCAGAAACTGAAATCTCATCTAATTTCACATGTTCTTCTTCCCTGTTCTGTCTAATTTCACATGTATGCAAACATAATAGATAGTTTCTTTTATTCTTGAATCTCTATTTTTTACCGCACAGAATTTGTTGCAGCCATGGATACCAAGTACAGACCATGGTTGATGATTTCCTTTCTTTTCATGTGTTTCTCCCTCAAATTTCATGTCTCTTCTGGAGCTGACACCATCTCTGCAAACCAATCTCTCTCCGGTGATCAAACTATTCTTTCTGCAGGTGGGGTCTTTAAATTAGGCTTCTTCAAGCCAGGTAAATCTTCAAACTACTATATTGGCATGTGGTACGATAAAATATCTTTACAAACTGTCGTTTGGGTGGCAAATAGAGAGAAACCAGTTTCTGATAAATATTTCTCAGTTTTAAGAATCTCAGATGGTAATTTAGTCCTTTTTGACGAGTCCAAAGTGCCAGTTTGGTCCACAAGTATCACCTCTACCACCACAAGTTCTCTCGAAGCTATTCTTCTGGATGAAGGAAATCTTGTTTTGAGAGAGTTGTCTGGTAATTCATCAACATCATTGTGGGAAATTTTTGATCATCCAACCCATACATTTATCCCTGGAATGAAGATGGGACTTGACAAGCGGACCAAAGAAAGCAAACGTCTCATTTCATGGAAGAATGTAGAAGATCCTGCACCGGGTCTCTTCTCTCTTGAGGTAGACCCAGTTGAATCCAATTCTTTTGTTATATTGTGGAATAAGTCTCTGCTGAACTGGTTCAGTGGACCTTGGGATGAGAATAAAAAATTGTTCGAGGGGGTTCCTGAAATGACACAAAATTATATCTTCGATTTTAGCTATTTTTCCAATGAAACAGAGAGCTATTTTACATATTCAATGAAAAATACCAGCACCATTATTTCTCGATGTTTTATCGATATTTCAGGGCAGATTAAGCAAACAAATCGGTTAGACAGTATAAAATCTTGGCTTCTGTTTTGGTCCGTCCCCAGACAATGAGGAGTCTACGCGAATTGTGGTGCATTTGGGCGCTGCACTAATCAAACTATGTCCTGTGATTGTTTGCAAGGTTTTCAGCCAAAATTAGAGCATGATTGGAACTTGGGGGATTATTCTAATGGTTGTGAGAGGAAAACCCAACTGCAGTGTCAAAATAATAGTGTAGCCAATGGAAAGAGGGATAAATTTTTAAAAAATTCGAACATGGCATTGCCCGAAAATCCACAATCTGTGGCAGTACGGAGTGTAGACGAGTGTGAAACAATCTGCTTGAATAATTGCTCTTGCACTGCTTATGCATTTGAAGATAATCAGTGTTGGATTTGGTTTGAAAATCTGAAAATCTGTTGAGTGTGCAGCAAGGCGTCTCAGATGGAGCAACTCTTTATATCAAGCTTGCTGCTTCAGAGTTTTCAAGTCCCAAAAGGGGAAGAGTTATTGGTGGTGTTGTGGGCTTAGTGGCACTTGTAGTTGCCTTAGGCCTTCTTGTGTTTCTATATTTAAGAAGGAGAAAGAAAACAATCAAAACAACCAACGCAGTTGAGGGTTCACTAATGGCATTTGCATACAAAGATTTGCAAAATGCGACACAGAATTTCTCAGAAAAAATGGGTGGGGGAGGTTTTGGTTCTGTTTTCAAAGGGGTTTTACCCAATTCAAGTGTCATAGCAGTGAAGAAGCTTGAAAGTTTGAGCCAAGGAGAGAAGCAATTCCGAACAGAAGTCAGCACAATAGGTAATATCCAACATGTCAATCTAGTTCGGCTTATTGGATTCTGTTCTGAAGGTACTAAAAGGCTATTGGTCTATGATTTCATGCCAAATGGTTCTTTGAATTCCACTCTCTTCCCTGAAAAGACTTCAGAGGTTCTAGATTGGAAAAGAAGATATGAAATTGCATTGGGGATAGCCAGAGGCTTAACTTATCTCCATGAAAAATGTAGAGATCGCATCATTCACTGTGACATAAAGCCCAAGAACATTCTATTAGATGCTGAATTTTGTCCAAAAGTGGCAGATTTTGGGCTGGCACAGTTGATGGGAAGAGAATTAAGCCGAGTCCTAACAACCATGAGAGGAACAAGAGGTTATCTTGCTCCAGAATGGATTTCAGGAGTGGCCATAACAGCCAAAGCAGATGTTTATAGTTATGGGATGATGCTTTTTGAAATTATTTCAGGAAACAGAAACTCAGAGCATTCAGGAAATGGACGAATGAAATTCTTCCCAATTTGGGCTGCAAGCGTAATTGCGGAAGGGGGTGATGTCCTCAGCCTACTAGATCCAAGGCTGGAGGAGAATGCTAATGTGGAGGAGCTTTCAAGAATTTGTAAAATGGCTGTATGGTGCATCCAAGATGATCAAACTCACAGGCCAACAATGGGTCAAGCAGTTCAGATACTTGAGGGGGTTTTGAATGTGAGATGTTCTCCAATTCCAAGAACTCTCCAAGTATTTGTGGATAATCCGGAACAGATAATTTTCTTCACCGAATCATCTTCCAGCCAGAGTTCACAGTCACGGACTAATACTTCAGCTGCTTCATCTCAGGCTAAGAGCAACACATCATCCACAAATTCCTAAATGTTTATGAAAACAATTCATTTAATTTCTTATTTGAGGATAGGTTTTTTTGATATAGAACATCTAGCCGATGAATTCCCAGATAGGGCTGAGCGTCAAAAGCTCAAACACGGGAAAGTCAACTTTAAACGATCATAACTTTTGATCTAAGAAGAGGAGTTACGGGGCCTATAATATATCAACGGAAAGCTTGTTTCGACCCTAAGACATGGTAACCAGGCCTCCCAAATTAGAGGATGTTTTCGGGCCCAAAATTCACTATTTTGCCAGGTTTCGGGGTCGTTTAAGTTTTTTGCGCGCATTTCCTATTTTATTTTATGATTTTTTTTAATAATTTGGATTTTATTTCCTTCTATATTGGGTGTCTTGTTAAGGTTGCTTGTCAGCCTATATAAAATTATTATTCATTTTTGGATATTATGGAATAATTATTCAGATTTTACCTCGAACTTCATAACCTAAGTTTATGTAATTGAGACTAGTTTATCAATTTTAAAA